GGAAGCAGATGCTCAAATTATACCTTAAGCACGTACGGTGAGGGGGCGAATTTGTTTTAAGGAAACTGTGTGTTACACAAGCCTCGTGTTAAATGTGCAATTTCGTATTTTATATTATTGTTCTATTTTATTATAATTCTGTTTCTTAAACCAATAATTTAGATTAACAAATTCGATGTTGGTCTGTATTAGTTCACTAGTTATCATATTTTCCTACAAATTATTAGGTCTAATACTAGAAAAGACAAGATTTAAATGAACATGAGACCCTCTATAAATGTTTAAACTTTTAGATGGGATCGTTAAGAATTAAGATGGTGTTAGGCCAAAAAAAACATAGGTTCAAGTCTCATCCCCACCCATATATAAAAAATTGTGTCAGACCTTTGATCATAAAATGAATTTGGATTGCACACGAGACCTGTATAACTTTTGTTCTAAATTTTAAATACATGTAGTCCGTTTCTAACATCTTAAATTTTTAAATGAGATGGTTTACAAATACAAAACTACTCTACCCTACGAATTTAACCTATAGGATTGTGCCACATTTGCAGCTAAAGATTACCTACGAAATAGCAGTTTGCATGGGATTGAGCCCTCATGTCTACAATTTTGTAATACTACTCATATACCAACAAGCCCCAGTCTCATTTCTGTAGGTCTGTGATCTATTACTTTTCTTTTTCATATAAAATTATCTATCTTTATGTAGATATTAATTTATCTTTATATGGTATCAGCATGATGATCCCTCTACAATACATATCATTTGTCTTAAAGTTGGTGTATTTGTTTATATTTAGACACTATATTTTATAATATTCTAAGTAGTAAAACTGCTATTCTTGTGACATTTCAATTTTTTATATCTATTTTGGCATTACTCTTGAAGTCATTATGTAGAATTTTTATATTATATACTATTATTGTTAATATCCAGTTATTTCACACTCTCTCAAGGTGTTCTCATCTTCTAATACTTAAAATGGTGACACTCTCTTGATCCTTATTCCCAAGTCATCACCTTGTTTTGTGCCATTGATTTCTACCTTTCTTCTTGCTATGATTTATTTTTCTAGGTTTACTTGGTTGATTCTTCAGATTGTGATGCTGAAAGGTTGCTTGATAGTAAAATATGTATTATATTTATAAGGAGCTATAAATTCTTAGTTTTCTCTTAATCATCTTGTTGCTGCTACATATTTCTGACTCTCTCAGTCTCACTTTTCATGAGTCTGTAATATGTGTGTGCATGTGTGTGCGCGCTATTCTGGTGGAATTTTGAGTTAGGCTTGTACAGTATCTGTCGTTGCTATTTCCATTTATTCAATAAAGCTAACATTTTTAGATGAATTTTATGCTTCTGATGGATGATTCTACTATCTAAGCAGTCACAGTCGGATAAAATTTAGGAAAAAAATACTAAAAATCTCTTGAGTTTTGTTACCTAATTATCCCAATAAATTTTATGAGCATATAAAGAAACCCAAACTACCAATTTTCTTACCTCGGGATGACTGTTCAATTAAGTCCTAGGACCATTTAAATAAATCAAAAGGGTAGTTCACTATTTGGCTGGAAGTATCAGTAGGCAGGCAACAAGCTGCCTTTGCAGGATAGCTGCCTGCAAAGGCAGCTAAAGACACAAGAAAAAAAAAACCCAAAAAATTCGAGTCGGCTCTGCCCGGGCTTGGCTCTGCCCGCTAAGGCTCGGGCCGAGCCTCATTTTTTTTGGCCGGGCCCGGCTCAGCTCGGCTCAAGCCAAAAAAAGCTCGGTCCAAAAAAGCTCGGGCTCGGCCCGAGCTCTGCTCGGCTCGTTGCCACCGCT